TACACCTGGTGTGGTCTTCTGCTGCTGGATCTCCTTCAACATGCTCAGATTTTGGTTGAAACAACTGGTTGCAACTGATTATAGTTTTCTATCAACTATAAGCAGTGTAGCCAATCTTCTCTGGCATCAACAAACCCTTTTTAATCTCAGAAAACTGACGCTTGTCTTTTTTCAGACCATTCTCTGTGAATCCTGGAGATGATTCTGAAATACTCGGACCAGCCTGACTGCTGCCAACAACCATGCAGCATTCAAAGTCACTCAAATCACCTCTCTTCCTGATTCTGATGCAGCTTTTGAACTTATTTTCATGTGATTGAAACAGGTGTGCCTAATAATGGTGCTGGTGAGTCTATTTGAGTTATAGATGGTAGTATAATAGTATCCTGCAATATAGATTAGTATATAGATGGTATTTGTTTAATAAGTTTAGGACAGGTCATAATAAAAACACTTTGTGGAGGTCAAAATATGATAAAAGAATCTAGAAAAGCAGCAGCCAAACTCAAAAGGTCCAGCAACTACAACCGACAGACTACAACAAGCCTACTTACACAAAGGGAGGAGCTCCAAAGGCATTTAAGGTAAAACAAAAATTAAATATTTTTTACTAGCTCAGGGGAAACAACAGCAACTGTATTATTCCCAAACAAAAATGTATTAGTAACATGTGAAAACAAAGATTTATGTAATATGTTACTAACACTGAATGGTGACTGGTGATGATGGAGCAGCTACACTACTGATGCCTTTTATTTGTATTTCATTTATTCAAATTTATTTTCTCGCCTTCAGTTTTACTTTTAGCTTAGGTTGAATTAACTGTGATAACCTTGATGCCCCCCCGCGGTTGTCATGACTTCCACAGCTGATATCTCCATGACTCCAGCAGCTTCCAGATGTGGAAATAAACTGAGCGTGGGTTATCAACTTCCTCTGAGATTTTATCTGTGCTGACAGAAGGTAGGATGTAAATGTTTGGACTTCAGGGCCATACTGCGAGGTGACGGTGAGGTCGGTTTCTTTTTTTAGCGCTCAGAACAGTTTTCGGATTTAAGCTTAGAGTTAAAATAAATCCACAATTCGCAGCAAACCCTGTCATTAGAACATGAGAGCCATGGCTTCTCTTTAGATGAGCGATTTGCCTGATCAGAAAATCATTTCTTGTGAATCACTGAATCTAAAAAATGCAAAGTGGAGACAATAATCCACCAAAACAGTGACGGCAAAGAGATGGTATGCAGTTGTTGTAGAATATTTGTCCGTTTAATGAAAGTGTGCACAATTTCACCTCCCTGCAATGAATATTTTTTGTGTTACACACCTTAAATTATGTAGAGGAAGGCTGAAGATTTGCATCTCTTGATTTTAGCCGTCATAGCTACTAAGTACATGGGATAGTCACATGAAATTCTATGGCTGCTAAAATATATTTAGCAAGTAAATTTCGGTCACATTCAAAATGACACAGCAAGAGGTTTTTTCATTATTAGGACTATAAGGGCGATCGTGGCTCAAGAGTTGGGAGTTTGCCTTGTAATCGGAAGGTTGCCGGTTCGAGCCCCGGCTCGGACAGTCTCGGTCGTTGTGTCCTTGGGCAAGACACTTCACCCGTTGCCTACTGGTGGTGGTCAGAGGGCCCGGTGGCGCCAGTGTCCGGCAGCCTCGCCTCTGTCAGTGCGCCCCAGGGTGGCTGTGGCTACATTGTAGCTGCTACAATGTAGCAGCTACAATGTAATAAATATTTACTCATTTATTACACACATTCACACACTGGTGATGGCAGCTACATTGTAGCTGCTACAATGTAGCTGCCATCACCAGTGTGTGGATGACTGGATATGTAAAGCGCTTTGGGGTCCTTAGGGACTAGAAAAGCGCTATATAAATACAGGCCATTTACCATATCAGTTTTTCAGCAGTAAAACACGCCAAATTTAATGTTTATAATGTAATAGAGACACTTGTTACTGTTTCTGTCCTCCATGTTTTATCCGTTTCGTGATAATTCAGTGAAAAAATATCTCAAAAAGTGTGATTTGGGTAAATCTTAAAGGATCATATCTGCCTGTGGGATAAACACGATTTATTTTTCCCACATTTTGGTCTTCTAGCTGTGAGTCCTTGTGTGAAAACAATTTTCTCGTATGTTTTATACATAGCATATACATCTGTGGGAGTTTACACCCACGCTGGCAGCTCTGTGCGGCTGCTCAGCTGAGGAAAAGGACAAAGTTTAATCTAGTCATGCTGTAGTTTGGTGTGCAGCACATCTGCTATTTGATCTTTATATGAAAAGTGAAACACTAGTTCTAAATGATGAGGACACAATTTAAACTGTGTATGAAGCAACAGATATTACTACACTGCATGTGAATAAGAAACTACAACATCTAAATATCTGTGTAGGTTCTCAGGCTGTCCAAATGGAAACGTGCACAGATGAATCTGTGGGACCATAAATTATGCTTGAGGACACAAAAACCATGAATAGCTTTTGCTCACATTTGTTATGTGTAATTATTTATTTACTCATTTATTACTTGTTATTTTCTAACTTGTGCCTGATTCTGATTGGCTGTTGTGTTTGTGCTCGTCCAGACTGATTTGTTCAGTTTAATTCAGGTTTATTTATATAGTGCCAAATCACAAAGGTTGCTTCAAAGTACTTTATATTGCAAGCTAAATGCCCTACAGTAGTTTGAGCAAAGCTCAGGCAATCTGACGACTCCCTATGAGCAAGCATTTTGTGATGGTGGGAAGTAAAAACTCCCTTGTAAGAGGAACAAACCTCCAGCAGAACCAGGCTCAGGAAGGGATGGTCATCGGTTGTGACCAGTTTGGGCAAAGAGAAGAGAAAAGCACACAGGAAGATGGGACAAAACACCTACTGTTGCAGAAAGAAGACAGCATTTAACTATGTCATTAAATTTAAAATCAAATTAAATAAAAACCAATAACTGTGACACACTGCAGTGGCAGATAAACAGATGGGAAGTGAAAAGTGGTGAGTGGAGTCACGGAGTCATGGAGTAAAGTAAGCATATTGGGATAAAGTACTTCATAAACAGTAAGCGTGGCGTAAATTCCAGATCATAAAAATGAAGCCACAAAGTGGAGATGCAATAATATTTTATCGGACAGGTCACTAGATGGCGATATCTTTGGTTCAGCTCTATAAATGATAACTATCTGATTTGACCCCAACAACATCAGCTAACAACTTCAATTAGAAGTCATTAGCCAATGAGTGGGAACAATGAGCACGCTCTGGCCGGTCCCTCCTCGTCACATCCTGTTTTTTTGAAACCAAGATGGCAAAGATGGAAACGCTGCTCTTGACTTTTCCAAACTTGCCTACCTTCATCTTTTATTATACCATCTGTGACTGCCAACAGCTTGCAGAATGCACTCTTCAATTCAATTTTATTTATATAGCGCCAAATCACAACTAAAGTCGCCTCAAGGCGCTTCATAGATACAGAGAAAAACCCAACAATCATATGACCCCCTATGAGCAAGCACTTTGGCGACAGTGGGAAGGAAAAACGCCCTTTTAACAGGAAGAAACCTCCGGCAGAACCAGGCTCAGGGAGGGGCGGGGCCATCTGCTGCGACCGGTTGGGGTGAGAGAAGGAAGACAGGATAAAGACATGCTGTGGACAAACGGTGCAACAATAACATTCACAGCAAGCTAAAATTTTGAGTCATCTCAAAATGTATTCGTTAATAGTGAATTTTTTTTTTTTACATAAACTGAAATTATGACTTATGATGCCAATTTATTTATTTCGGTGATATAAACAAGCTTCCATGAAAGGGTGTTTTTCCCCATCTGTTCTCTTTTTTTGTGTTAACTTTTCTCTTCCATGATTCAGCGGTTTGTGATTACCCTGCATATCAAACAAATCTCCCGCTGAATGCTTTTTAAATAAGAACAACTGAGCAGCCTCCCACTGACAGAAGAAAACTTTAACAAAGTTATAATAAGACAACATGTTTTTTTATTTACCAGACACAATGATCATGTAAAAAGAAGTGAATAAATTGAATGAAATACATATATCACAGTGTTGATACCAAACAAAGTGGACATAAATAAGTGTTCCATCAACGGTATAGTACTGTATCTGTATACATAATGCAATGTAATAATCAGATCAGAGCATTCACGTCTGATCCCGCTTTGAAAACAGGAATAAATACAAGAGCTCGGCCTCTCTGTGGTCTGCAGACTTTCAGCTAAACCTTAAATTTCATCCTCCCTTTGAACATCACGAGCTTCCCTTTTTTTTCCCCCCCTTCTCAAAAATCGAACATCATACATTCTTGCTTCTCGGTGACAATTAAATACACCAAACTACCTTTAAATACTTTCCACAAGAAAGCCCACTAAGTTCAGCTTTAGTTGAAAACAAAGAAAAAAAGGTCTCGGTTTACTGTAAATTTTAGCATTTCTCTGAGTTTTCCAAACAAATACTCAGTAATTACACTTCTTTACACAACTACACACTTCACAGCATCCTCCAACAGAGACATGTCAGGGATTACCTGAGAGCAGGTAGAAAGAATTCCTCGAGAGCTGAAACAGTTAGAGAATGAACGAGTTAATGAACCGACAAAATATTGGTTGAAAAAGTTTTAATGCTTTTACCCCATCAAGTTTTTAAAGCTGTAAAGTCTGACAGTTAAATAAAAATGATGGCATGCCCCGTCCTCAATTCACCCTAAACTTTATTTTCTACCCTTGATTTTAGAGTCTGATACGGTGCTAAAACTTCTACACAAGTGTATTTCACAAACACAAACTCTGTCTTGCATACGGCACAATCACTAACTCTATCAGCTAACATCAATTAATACAAAGGATCTGCTTGACTCCTTCTCTGATTGGTCTTTGCACAGATGCTGTACCCTCAGGCGATCGTTGTGACCAAAGCAAAATAAAAGACACGTAGGGGGGTGAGGATAAAAGTTGTTTTTTTTTTTAAATTCTCTGCGATAATGAGCCTGACACAGCTGGTTGCAGCGAAAGCTGCACCGGTCGTGGGCGTACTGTACAAAAAAAACTGTGCAAGTAAAAGGAGGAGAGGAGTAAGATATGAGACTTTTCTACAGAGGCAGAACACGGCAGGAAGAGAGAGGACTGGGAGGAAGATCAGGAGGAGCTCAAAGGCTGAATAATTAACTCTGGCTACACACTTCGTTCTTTCATCCTCACCCAGCAGCTGAGTTTTCAGCACATCTATCGCTGCTGAAGCAACCTGCAGTTAAAAGATGGCTTTGCTTAGTTGTTTATTTCTCACAAGCTCTTTTTCAGTGACCTGCGATATTTTAAAACGCAGCAACATAAACTCACCACAGGTCTCTGTGATCCTTTCAGCTAAATAGTGATTATTCCTTCTCAGATTTGGAAAATTCACAGTTTGTCAACAACATAAAAATTGTAGTGTTAAGTAGAAGATTCATGCTTTTTCCTTTATATCACCTCCACAGGTTAGCACTGGATTAATGATTTGAAGGGCTCCTCTGTTGGTGAACCTCAGCTGCTACAGATGGATGCAACCGTTACATTAAGGCACTGGTACTACGAGTGTCTCTACGCTCATCAGGCCTTTTCTCACATATGAGACTTTAAATGTGCGTGACTCAGTGTCATCTGTTTCAGAGCGCCGATGGCACACTACATCCTTGATTAGATAAAAAAGAAAATAACGTAAAAAATGAAAGGACAGGCGTTGGTCTGGATGAGATCACTTTGTTAAGAAAAGATGCACATCAGTGACACCAGTACTTGAATGCAGCAGTATCAGAGTACAAGGTAGACTTTGCCTGGAAGGAGCCTTAAATGAATTTCTCAGCTAAGGATTCACACGTTCTCCTGCTGCCTGGACATCAGGAGCTCCGACTGAAAGGTGAAACCCTTTATCACCACACTCTTCTCAAAGCTGCTTCTCCAGCCTTCTTGTGGTTTGCATAGGGCGTGTAATGTATGCACAACATAAACCGACTGTATGTATGAAGTTGTACACATGTCCAGAAGTGATAGCTTCTGTTTTTGCCAGAGACTTGCAAGGATATTTGAACTGGCCTCTTATAATAAATGTCATTACGCTATTTTAAATATAAACATATTTGAGTACTGACAGTCAGAGGAAGCCCACGGGCGAACTGAGGGGCTGTCGAGAGCTTGGGGAGTGTCTTTTCTGCGGCACCCCAGCAGCTTTTTCCCCCCTATGCGTTTTTTTTTTTTTCCATGCAGTGTTCAGGAGACGGGAAGCTGCTGACTTTCCATTTAATTACTTCTCCTGCAGGAGTGAATGTCAATCAAACTCCTCTGCAGCTACCAATGAGAAAAAGCAGGGAAGAGGAGGAGCTGCAGCAAAATCTCCGCTCTTCTGAGGGATTGATGGGCAGGAGTCGGAGAATAACTGAGTCCTCCTCACAGTAGTCAGACATTGATTATTAATGCTTCAGTTCCTGACCAGGCAGGATGCTGGAGGAGCAGCCCCGATGAGAGCCGCCCTCTAATGCAGCTAATGGGCCCTTTCCTTGGCGATGGAAGTCTCTGCATCAGTCTCAGGTGAAGCCAGGGGTGGGACTTTCGTAGCTGCAGGGTGCTCCTCTTTCGGGGAGGCGTTCTTCTCCGCAGAGGCAGCAATGCTCGGCTTGGCATCATCAGGTGTGTGCTCGTTGGGGATGAGCGGAGCTGTGGTTTTCTGTAGGGAGAGGACAATGAACATGGTCACTGAAACTGTGGGGTTTATAGCAGTGCCAATATTGCTGCAATCAGTGGTATTATCAATACTGTAATATTATTTTGAGTTAGAATAAAGTGAGACTTGCACTTGACTTGAGTGTGCAAAAGCCTCACTGCCACCGGTTTGACAGCAACCCCCCCAAAAAAACAAAAACAAAAAAACCCCCAAACACGCCACTGCTAATAAAAGGAGCTGTTAGACTTGGGCGGCACACGGTTTTGATAGATTGAGCAATTTCGTACCAGCTATTAACTGGAATTGATGTGCAATTCTCGTCCCTAGAGGACAGCAAGCTGAAAAGATGCAGTAACGACAAACTGATCTGAATCAGATGATTAACAGGAAGAAGAACATAAAACAGGCGAATCTTTCTTTTGTTCCAGACTGGGTGGAGACAACACAGTCGCTCCTTTTATATTAGAAATTCATATACTATTATCACATTTACATTTTCTATATTAGGAAGAGATAGAGAGCTGCTAAATTAAAAAACAAAAAGATAAAACGACGTGCTCTGAAGTCATGGTTTGGACCCCACCCAACTCTGAATGCCGCCTTCATTTTGATCTGAGCTGCACACCTGCAGGTTTTGTGCCTGCATCTTGCTCAACTGTGATGCTGTGACATAAAAACACCCGCTAAAGCACTCAGAAGCCTTTGTGGTAAGACCGAGTACAACAGAGGTCGTTACTGCCATCACAACAGATTGTAATGAAGCAATAGCAGCGATACACTGAGTAATTCCATCAAAACATTGTCGGCTGACGCTCATTTCCAGTGGAAAAACAGCTAAAATCACCACTTAAAGTTCAGCTCAGTGACGACAGAGTACTAAAAGGTCACGCGTTACTGATATTATACTGACTTCCTTTGGCTCAGCTTTTAATTTTTTAAAGACTGAAGTCAAATTCAAAGTTGAAAGTTGTGTTGTTTTATTTTATTGGTACTACAGTAACAGCTTATTCTGGGCTTTGACGAACAAACGTGCGCCTCATCACATTTTCCGAACCCAGTTAAAATCAGTCAGATAATAAAATAAATGTAGAAATATCAATCTAAAGCAATAAAACCTGAAAAAGCTCACAGAGAAGACACCTACCCAGAAGTGCTTGAGTACTGCTGGATCATTTATTGGTTTACTTCAAGTGCAAGCTGTGGATTTAATCTTTAGTACCATTTTTAAAACTATAGAATTTATAAAAATCTCTTTGTGATTCTTCTTCTCCTTTGCTGGAACTAATTCCTTTATCAAAAACAATAACTTCAACAATCTTAACTTTGATTTTTGGTGTAATTTTGAATCCATCCCTCAAAGGGCTTGGTGATTTGGGTTTTCACTGACCGCTGTCACATCATTTTGCTCTCAACACAATGTGTGCCAGTAAAGATTTTTCAACTTGAGTGCTTCATCTAGATCTTTTTGAACACTATGTATTTGTTTCGATGTCCATTTTGAGATCTCAGAACACATTTATTATATTGTATACATGATTTCATATGCAGCAAAACACACTAATCATCCAAGTGCATATTCAATTCAGGGTCACAGGGAGGCTGGAGCCCATCTCATCTGTCACAGGACAACCTGGACAGGCTGCCAATCCACCACAGGGCTAGCACGGTGATGCAGACAACCAAATCATGTGTTTGGACTGTGCAAGAAAGCAGGAATGCCTGGAGAGAACCCATATAGGCACAGAAAAGATCCCAACACACCATTTAAAAGTAAGTGCACTTCCAAAAATGCAATTATTGTTTGCAGCACAACTAGAAAAGTATTAAACCACCATGGATGGACACAGCGACAGTTACAGGATTTTTCACTTGGGCAACTTTAACATTTCCAAGACTTAAATGCCTGCTCTGTATAGTGTTAGTTTAAGCAGGTGTACAGGACGCCAGTTTAGCCAACTGGATAGAGCAGGCGACCCATACGCCATAAGGTAAAAGCACCTCGAGGCCATTTGTTGTGCACCTTTCCCTGGTCTTTCCCATTTTCTCTCCACTGTCCTACATTATCAAAAAAGCCTAAAAAGCCCACAAAATATATCTAAAAGTAAAAAGCAGATCTTGAAGTCAAGCTCAGCCTCAATCCCAGCTGATCACGTGATCTCAGTGAAAGCACATGTTAGCTAATAGTTCAGCTGATACCCGTCCACACATACAAACAACAAATCTTACACAGGCTGCGCTGTTTAAGTGGCTTTCACCGGTCCTCAGCTGCTGTGCATCTGCAAGCCACTTTGTGACCCACTTGCGCTTCATCTCCCCCTTTCATGCTGTGTTTGGCTTAACCAGAACCAGTGTTCTATTCTGTGCAGGTCTTGCTGCTCCATTTTTGTACATAAAAGGGCGAGGAGGTCCCAGAACAGAGCTATAATACCCAATATAAATTACTGCAGATGGAAATAATCCTGACTATAGTGGTCCTGTTCGCATTTAAAGCAGTGGAACAAACACGAGTGAATGCAAAACGCCAGCATCTGTATGCTAAGAAGAGGCACAAAATGGCCCTTCTCTGACACTGACACACACACACTTCCTTTCTTCTCTCAATTCTAAGTGGTTTCAACTGTTTTATGTCTGCTCTATATTCATTATTCTGTGCTTTGCAGCCTCCATCCACTCACGAATCGGTGTGTCTGAATGAGGAGACTACAATGAGAAAGAGTGCATGTGTGTGTGTTTGTGGGCACTCACCGTAGTTTGTGGCACGGGGTTGCTGGAGGAAATGAGTGTATCCTCCTGCAGTAGTCCTCTTCTGTCCAAGACGCTGTAGGGTGAGACGAAGCAATCATTCTGCTCATTAGTCACCAAAACAAAGCAATGGCACCAAGCTCAGACAACAGTGCGGGAAACAGTCTTGCACTGACAAAATGACCAAAAAAACCCCAAAAACTGTGAGCCCAAGATACAATAAGCAGTTACCTCGGGTATGTCGGGCCACACAGCACCTCACAGCAGTTTTTGATGATGTTCTTGTGGCTGTAAGGGTTCTGGCCTCTGTTCTTTCCCGACCAGGATCCTTTAATCTATGCAAAACAAAATTCACCACAACATAAATCAGTGAAGAAGCAAACCCTGCCAAACTATCAATCGTCCGCAGTAGCACTCACTTTTCTTTCATGACGATTTTCCCTGTGCTTATACCTTATTCAAAAGCATACTTCTATTTATAGAAGTTATCCCCACAGTGTTGGGTTTGACCCACTAAAATCTAGCTTGTCAGGAGTTAATGAATACTGATTTTCTGGGAAATCTATGTGCTGATGGGTACAAACAGGCAGGGCAATGGAAGATTAGAACCACTTTATTCATTCATTAAAAATCTGAGTTCATACTAAGGTTTTCTTCTGCAATAAAACCACTACACAGCAGCTTTTTTGTGGCTTAAGGGGTTAAACGATTATTTTACTTATGCATATATGCTATGCTATGCATATATAGCTGTTTTTTTTAATACAAATACAAATCTGTGCATCATTTTATTGACACCGCCTATAATTTTTAGGATCTTTAGGAATATTTCCTGCAAAGACAGATTTTAAAACAAATTTCTTTTAAATACCTGAAAGAAGAAATCAAGGACACTGCTTTCATATATAGGAGAAACCTGGACCTTAATCATGCACAAGTTTATAGTCTATTTAGCTCCAAAATTAACATAATTTTCCATTAAATAAGACCTGAAACAAGCTATTAGATACTTTTAATACAGCTCATTTTTGGAACCAGAGGAATCACCCCCCGCTGCATTTACTAACAAAAAGTGCAATGAGTGCAGATTTTTTTTAAAAATTCTCGTGTGAATAAATCTGGCACAGTTACACAACATCATAAAATAAAATACACAAAACAGAAAACAAATATTTCCATTATAATCCAATGACCTTCAATGTGGACAACAATTATTTGCAGATTTTGCATTAGAGCCACATTAGATTTGATTTTTTTAAAAACAGGAAACGTAGATAAAGCAGACTGAATGCATCTGTAATCGTTTTAAAGCCTCGTCTCTTTGTTCGCAGCAGAGCATGCACTCCCTGACCCTCCAGCAGGACGGACAAAAAGCTTTATTTTAGGCGTCATAGATGTAGGTCAGGAGCCTGCACACAAGGCGCCTCACACATGCCTCCGTGTGTCTGCATGTGTGACACACTTCATCGAGCATGCGTCGTCCTACGGGGAGACCAGAGCAACCATAACACTCAAGGTGCCTTCCTTCCCCTGTTCGCCTTCTCCTCCCTCTCTCCTCTCACTCCCCCTCCTCGTCTCTGCCACAGCAGTGTTTCTGGCGCCGTGCCCGGCCCCTGCAGGTATCGATGCATCTATTATTAGCCCAATCACAGATATTGAAACAGCTGGGCTGACAGCTATTGTTTCAACTCCTGAAGCAACGTTACACGTTTTAGGTGCACATTCCACTGCTTTATCACAGATTAAATGGGGAAAAAATGAGGCCAGCCATCCCACAGGAAAGAAGAAGGGGAATTATAAATTAATCATTACAACAAAGTATGAGTGCACTCTCTTGCTTTCAGCCATCTAGAACCTCCCACCACATCGCTGCTGCTGCTGCTGCTGCTGCTGCTTCTCGTCAGAGCCTCTGCAGTTAGATCTGGGCTAACAAAGCCTCCATTAAAGAACACGTGCTGTTTAATGTCAGTATATTTGCACAGACGCAACGCAAATTACTCCCTTTGTGAATTCATCCACCTGCATGTCCGCCGCTCATCATCTGCTTCGCATCAGCCTGAGTCTGTGTTTCTGTGTGCAGTGACTAAATAACGAGTCAGTAACGACTAATGTGGCCAACCAATCAATACTTTTTTCCTCCTCATTCAGCCGGAGAAGCTTTTTCTAAATGTAGTTGGCAAGCTGGGAGAAAGAGACCGGCGCGTCTGTTTTCGACTTATTTCAGCTTCATTTTGTCAGTGCTTTTATTAAGTACAGAAGCTTTTCGTGCATATTTTTAGATCATTACGCTCCATCAGCCTGCTGGTTGGCTGAGAGGAGTCCAACTGCAAACAATTTGTCGCATGGCTGAGAGTCTGAGCAGAATAAGCTGCTCCTGCTGGTGGTTTTCTGACTCAGTGTTCCTGATTTAGATAAAAAATAAAGCATTAACCTTTACAGAAAAATAACAAACAAGCTGGTGAATTCTGTGTGTACAATCTCTTAAATGAGAGTGAGTTAATATCTCATTTTCTTATGTCTCTGTTTTCTTCCTGTTGGTCGTCAGACACTTTATTTGCTTTTCTTTTGTTTACAATATACCAACCTTGTTTTAACGAGCTACAGTTTACCAGCCCTCTGTCCTTCAGCGCTGAACGAGGAGGAGCTGTTGTCAAGGTAACAGCTCTCTGGTCTTAGAAATTGTAGTGTTGGACCACGGTGATGCATGTTTATCTTTACAGCCACAGGAAGCCAATCTGCCCGATCACAACGTTGCTAAAACTGTGATTTATCCTAATTATGTATCCACCTGACCATTACCTTCAAGATATAAACCAAGACCTCACCAGAAAACACATCTAACCCATCACTCTTAAAAATCCGAGCATTACTGTAATATGTGCGTTTATCTTCATCTCTATTATTGGTCAGTGGGGTTGGACTTTGTTCAACCCCGAAGCATTTCAGTGCTCCTAATGGGGCATTAAAGAACTGAGAATAAACGCCTCTCCGTATTCCCCTCGAGGGTTTCTGGCAGGTAACAAACAGCTTTAGCTGTATTATCGCCTTCCTCTGAGCTGAAATAGTCGTACACGTTCCTCCAAAAATGAGAAGGCTGCAAAGAAACACAGAGACGAGTAAATGTGTCTCTGTGTTAATCCAGATGCAGCTTGACCAGATGTGTTAAGCCACATGTGGATTTAATGAAATGTAAACGTAAACTGGTCTGAGCAGCGGTTCACTTGGACTAATGCAAGTCTATGAAACCCACTCGAACACTAAACTGATGCTCCAAACACTGTGTAGGATCAGCTTGGCAAATGCAGCCTACAGAGTAGGCAGCTCACTGAATTCTGCCAAATATCTATTTCTGTTGTTATGTGACAAAAAATAAAGTTTGAAGAATCAGAGTATAGTTGCAGAAAACTTGGAAAAATAAAATAAATGAGATAATGGTCTGTCAAAGTGTAAGCAGAATAGACTGTACATAAAAGATGGACAAAGCTCAATCTGTATTCTTGTAATGACTTGCAGTGCGTCACTTCTTTGGTTCCAAAATAACTCAGATGTCTGCAGGACCGCCTCAGTAAACTTTCCTAATGACTGTATGGCCTCAATAACCAACAAGTGTGAATGGAGTTAGTGGTCCAGTAGAGGTAATGAGTGACAGGAGAATGGTGGCTAAACTGTCATCACACGTTAAACAACACCTCCCACCCCATTCAAGTCACTCTGACAGCTATGAGCAACTCCTTCAGTGACAGTGTGAAGGCGAGATTTGGGAGGTGTTTTCACCCAGGTGCTGTCAGACTCACTAAAGGTACACATGTGTGATACTCAGTATTTGCTGCTATTAACATGCAGCCACTGCACTATGAAACATTCAATTTTTGCTGCTACGAGGCATCTAAAATGTCAGTTGTATTATTATTAATTCATATATTTCTTCTGCTTTTTAGAGCGTACATTTTTCTTCTAGTTGTTTTTATATAGTATTTCTGTTGTTAGATTATGCTACACCTATTTATTCCTGCTCTGTCCACTCTACTGCTGTGAATGTCCCAGACTATCTCGTCTCATCTTACATGATGTTACTTTGCAAATTACGGTCTCCATTCCAGTGAAAAAAGACGACAGAGCACGAGATGCTTTAGCTGGGACCTGCCTTGTAACTGAAATGTCGAACCATATGAGCATGCAGAGTTCCCAGTTTTCTCACTCTCAGTTGTTTTAGTCTTTTATGGGTACAGGGGAACCAATGTTGTATGTGCACTCATAAAGCAATTGCTGCCTAATTATTTCAGGAGTTCATCTGTCATTTTCCATCTTCATTTTTGATGAAAACAATAAATAATAATAAATAATAAAGAATGGACTAACTGAGACTCGACTCGAACCAAAATTAACTGTAGACCTGAGCAGTTATTCAACAAAAAACAACAAGAAAAAAAAAGTACTTACATCCTCGTTGGTGGTCTGGTTGAGAGAGATCAGGTAGGTATGGAAGCCAGTCAGTCCCACCACTGACCACAGGGTGAAGAAACACACCAGCACCTCCAGCACAGTGAGCTCCAGTTAAGAAAACAGTAACAGATGTTTCTGGCTGACTCGAGGTTACTGATTAAACCGCAGACAGCGTAGCAAAAAATTATGTAACATGATTAAAGGCAGTGAATGTCAGTGGAAGAACACAGAGCGATGAAAGAAGCGGCTTTACCTTCTAACTGTGCAAAAAGGAGAAAAAGACTATTTAGAAATAACTTAATTAAAATGTTAATCCATGAAATATGCAACAATTTTAAAGATTTTTTTCCATTAAAATTTCTAATATTTCTGTAACATGAGAAAAGGCAGATAAACAGACACTTATTTCTTGCCTCTCATCAATAAATCTGCAGGTTTTAACGGGCTGTAGCTAGGTAACTACAAGCCTAAGATTATCCCAGTGTGTGGCCTGATGCCACTGTCTCAGGATAATTTTAGAGTGTTTCCAGGTGAATTATTTTATAATGAGAATCTTGCAGAAGGGTCTGTGCAAAATATGAGCAAATTGTAATTTTTTTCTTTTTATTTGTCACAGTTTAGCGGCTTATCTTCAATTGCAGAAAATGAGAGTTCTGTTAACTTAGCTATGCTAAGGTTGGGCAAAGGCTGTACAGTTTTTGGTGTTCATGAAAATCCAGCAAACATATCACCCACACACTCAGTTTTAAAGGATATGTTCCAGGTGTTTCCTTCAAAGTGTTCAAAAAGCCACCATTCATTGAGCCTGTGGACAGGGAAACAGAAATTACAAGGTCATTATTGTTATTAAGGTAATAAACCCAGAGCTTATCATCCATATGAGGAAATACTCTTTCGGTTTGTCTGTCTCATCCTATGTTCAGTAAAAGAAGGAAGCAGGATGATGTGGTGTGGCTACAGATTAGGCTCATGTGTTCTCTCTGATTGGCCAGTTGAATAACAGGATACTTACGCATGACCACGTGGACGATGTCAAAGGTGAAGATATAAATGGTGAGCAGGGAGAGTGACAGGGTGAACAGGTAGAAGTATCTGTAGTTTCTCTTGCCCACGCAGTTGCCCACCCATGGACAGTGGTGATCAAAACGGTCTGAGGGAAAGAAGAAGAAAAAAAGAACAAAAGGGGAACTATAAATATGTAAAATGTTCCAGAACCTGAAAAACAAGCCTTCTTGGAGAGTAGACAATTTTGGGAATCAAAAGAATGTTAAAAATACACAAATTTCAATAACAGTCTTTCAGTCAAAGGCTGCTTTATGCCTCAGCTTCTGAATCTAAATATAGTGATCGCTTCCTCTTTGTGGCTGCTCCTCTATCAGCTCAGAGCCATATGAAAGCAGGGCAGGGTCAAATGGACAATGAAAGTAAACATCTTACTTTACACTTTCCTCCGCAGCCGACACCGCTGCAATCCCCAGATGAAGTTTCACAACAATATCAAGTAAACACGGAGGCAAACAGACAGGATGTGAACCGGTTTGTAGATTCAAGTGGACCCGTGGATGATTGTTATATTTATGGAACACAATGCAAATGTTGACCCAAGATGACTATTTTTGTATTCCAGCTGTTTTGGGATAAAGTAGTCGCTAAATGTAAAGCAACGAGCTGGAAAGGAATGATAGGAGTGTATAAAACGCAGATGAGTAGCATGACTCTCACTGAAATGTCTTAACTCGTAATGGAGGGACAATCATGAAATTTAGTACAGACGCACAGAGGATGAAAGCTAATGTTTGTGGTGATCTCAAAACTTTCACTCTAGCACTTGGTCAGATTTTTTACCCACTAAAACCAAAACCCTCAGCTAATCTACGACGGTAAATAGTCTGTTACATTAGCACAAATCCTAAATCTCCCATTCCACCATATTCCAAAGGTGCTCTGTTGGATTGGCAGGATGGATCCATGCTTTCATGTCATTTAACCAAACTCTGACCATATCATCTAAATATCAAAGCAGAAATTGTGCCAATGTTTTTCCAGTCTTCTCCTGCCCAGTTTTGGTTTGCCTGTGCAAATTGTTGCCTCGGTATCCTGTTCGTAGCTGACAGGAGCTGGTATCCTGTTCTTCTGCTGCTGTAGCCCGTCTGCTTCAAGGTTCAATGAGTTGTGTTTTCAGAGTTGTTCTTCTGCATACCTTGATTGTAATTATTAGTTATTTGAGTTACTGCTGCCTTCCTGTCAGCATGAAACACTCTCCCCTGACATCTGGCAAGACTATAAGTCACTTATCCATAAGTCATTTATGCAAAGAGAACTTCTATATTTTCTCATTTTCTGACCTTAAATCGCCTTTATTCTTTGTTCTCATCTCAGTTTGAACCTCCACAGCTCATTTTGACCATTTTCTAATAGATGAAAGCATCGTGCTGCCACCACGTGACAGGCTTATTTGATATTTATGTTAACAAGCAGTTGAACAGGTGTACCTGACAAACTGGCCAAAGTGATATATAGATGCATCCCTACTGAAACCCAAAGACAATATAAGCAGACAGAAAAGTAGCTCAGGTAAAAGATAGATTTTAGCAGTTATAGGGATGCAAACAAAACACCAAACAAGTGTAAAAAGACCATTTCATATGGACAAACATCAGCTTCCATTTATGCATGTTGTGTTTACTTTGATTGCCCCAGATTTGCAGGTTGCATATGGAGTGCAGCAGCACAACAATCATCCACACTGTTCACTCCATAATAAATCTATAAGCACTTAAACTTGATTAAAAGTCTCACATACCGGTATTCTTTTTCTTTTTGCAGCGTGAGTCACTGAATAAAACATGTGCAGTTATTCAGAGACCAACACCTTCACCCCAGACTTTATGTGCAGGACTACAAAACTGTGCATTTGCATCTTATAATAGTGGAGTGGCTGTTTTCTCTCTGAGACTTCCATCAGTATGAGCAAAGTTAAGGCGAGGAGGGAACAAAAACCTCTGCAGTAAAAGAGGAATGCAGTTGTGTAATGCTAGCGCTGGGAGTGTGTGCGTTTCTACAGCAGGTGGACACAGATGAACCAGTGTTCACAATGACTGAGCACTTATTTCCTCACTGAGCCTCCACTGTCTCCTCTCTCGTCGCCTGTGAGTCTACGCTCCCTTCAAACACATTCTTCATTCATCGGCTACCAAATCACTGCTAATCTGCAGAGCTGTGAGATGACACAGCTACACACACGCGTCACGTCACAAAGCATCACAATGCACCACAAATTCACGGCCTTCAAAACTTAAAGGGCATTCTTAAAAAATAAAAATAAATCCCCTCACGAATGTTTTTCCAAAACTTTTACACCCCGTCCGCTTCTGCGTATATTTATAAAGCTAACATTTCTTTTTTTCACCGTGACAAACGAATGCACGGAGGTAATTAAGGATGAGGCATCAGTAATCGCCATCATGTCAGCGAGCTATTTTTCTCCTTGCTCACCTTTCTATTTCTGCACGCCTGAAATAAACCCATCTCATCTTTCTCCTTTTGTGAAGCCTTTCTGAGCAGCGTAACAAACGACGGCAGATCAGATGAGACTTCTTACCGACGCAGTTGTCGCAGATGCTGCAGTGGGACGCTCGAGGTGGTCGGAAGATCTTGCACGTGTAGCAGTACTTGAGCTTGACGATCTGATTATTGATCTGAACGTTGCGGATTCGGGGCGGGGGTCGCTGCCCTGCGGGGACGTTCCCATTGGCAGCCTCTGTGGAAGCGAACAGAAAAACATTAAATCAATGTGGATGACATAATATAAATTACTCTAAGAGATCATATTTAATCACAGTCAGCACAACACAGCAACAAATGAAATCCTCAGACAGTGTTAAACATGATTTGTGCATTGGATTGCATTGGACAGGAGCTCTAATGTGAGAATTAGTGACATAAATCACGACAGCTGAACCTTGAGGATGTCATTCACCAAGAACTGTCGCTCAGTACAGTATAGGTGGGCTGTTTAACTGTCAATATTTTTATTTGCAACTATAAAGCACCATATCTTTCTCCATTTGGACAGCTTTCTATCACTGGAATGGCCATATTTCACAGTAATCTTATGCCTGCACAGCAGCTATCAAACAAATGAATTCTGACATACTGTTTGCTTGTGACAATTTGGATGTTTCTGATTATCTTACACTCCGGGATCTGGAGATTATACGTGCAAGCCGATGATCACACAGTTGAATAACCCCGCAGAGTAGCTGCGAGGAAGAAATCTACCATTAACATGCCGCAGTGGACAGGCGTGAATGTGGAGTTAATGGAAAAGAGAAAGCGTACTTATTTGACTTCCTGGGGATTCATTAAGATTTTTTTTTTTTAAAAGTGCTTTCTGTGGAAATGAAATTATCTGGGTTTGAGGAAAGTGTTCAGAGATGCTAAGGGGGAAAAGCCTAAAATGCATACTTATCATTTGTATAGAGTCCTAAATGAAGATCTCTTAAGTAAAACAAAGCAGTTTCTGCACAAATAAATCAGTGAAACGAGCACATTTTCAGGCTTCTATTAAAAACATCCCTGGGACATAAATTCATAGATTGTGACAGCAACAAATACTTGGCATCATGCACCCACAGAATGTAGGATTTAGTGGCTTTCAGGATAAAGTAGTGAAGAATAAATTTATGAGTCACCACTCACAGGGATTGATGCCACTCCCTTGGGTAGCAAAGCTCAATCTGCTCGTGGCATTATATATTTCGAGAAGATGCCTCTCCTCGTATTAGCGTTCCCCCTGGGGACTGCTGCTAACAGGCAGAAGGGACAGAGCATCGGGGCTGCAGAGGCTTCTTTAACATCCCTGCTCGCTTGCTCAACTGGCTTTTAGCACTCCCACACTTACAACAGCTATCCTAACACATAAAAACATACTGTTTAATATCTGAAGGTGTGGGCTGATGAAGTTGGTACCAAACTGCGTAATTTAAGCTGGCATAATGCGGTCATGTGACCTGCTTAAATAGTGTTTATGTCAATAATAGCTTCATATTTGAAGAAGGTTGCCGAGATGTCTTATGTGGAAAGGTACAAGGCTTTGGGAATGCTGTGAGAGGATACATACAAGGTCAAAGAAAACATAAAGCAAGCCTGCTGCAAAAGAGAGGATGTCCAGTGAGGTTATTTAAAGGTATAGATTTACCTTTTCGGAAGTACAGAAATTATAATTTTTTACCTCAGGTTAAAGAAAACTGACACTGCTGGCAGCATATTTGAAATGAAACTAACAAACAGATGCTTCGTTTGTGGTACTATAAAGACTGAAACACAGGGTAGCAACTATCAACAACTCGAACGCCACATTCCTGCACCTCGAAAGCTCACTAATTAACATTTTATAACTTGTCTATTCAATCTGAAATGTAAAAATCACAATTGTTCACTGAGAGAAAAAAAAAGCTAATAAAAACTGAATATGAACCACCCAGTAAATTAGTTTGGTGTTTGTCACTCAAGACAAATTAAAGCGACGAAACATCACCAGAGGATCGATGTGGTATTGCTGCGTAAAGAAATGACTCAAATGAGTAATAGATCACTAAAATAGGCAGCGAATTTTCCATCCTTTGACTAATTGTTTCAGAGCTAACAGCACAAACATGCATGCGTTTCAGGTTCTCCGTCAGCATCATCGAACGAGCACGATGAGTCACGGTCATAATGACAGCAGCACTTGATGCCAGCTAACCCAATCCCAGAGAGCCGAGTGCCCTAGCCTTTTTTTATAAGCCTCATCTGTCCTCAAAAGAGACCGGTCCACGCCCATGCTTCGTACACAGAGTGAGGGAACACGCATGCTGGCTGAAGGATGCTGTGAATCTTTAACAGAGACAAAGAACATTGAGCAGCCACACAGGGAGGGAGGGAGGCAAAGAGAGAGCACTGGATACTAAACAAATATAGCAGCATGAAAATACAAAAAAAAAATAAAAAAATCATAAAGAACAAAGGGCAATTTCTCTTTTCTAAGAGTGTTGTATGTTTTGGATACTGTGAAAAACTGTATTTTAAACTAAGCTCTACATTTGTGGATGAGCACACCCAACTTTTAGCAATCTAAAGTATAACAAGAATAAATAAACCAGCAGATTGAGGCTGTCTGCTCACTGTTTAGCAAACATATATAGTGAAATATTTTATCCCTCCTAAATACTTTAACTACTTCCACCTAGTTTGCAATCCACACCTCTGGGTGTCCTTTGACACACAGACACGCGCCGCTGTGTGCAACACCCTGGATGACAACGATGTAAAAGCACCTGAGCTGCAATAACCACTAGACACGTCGCTGACTAAACATTTAAATGTATCTAGATAAGAGACTTGTGACTATGGCATTATCAGCACTGATACTGAATAGCTCTGCTTACAAGGGCAGGCGCTGGACTGCCACACCTGGCAAGGTGAGGTCACATGCTACTTTTTATTATTTATTACTTTGGTTTTTTTTAAATAATAAAAACTTTACAATCACGTAGCCACTGTATTTTTGAAATTTGTGTCAAAAGCCAAAGGTTTGAAAAGATACCAGAATACACCTGTTCAATTGCTCACTAATACAAATATCTAGTCAATCACACAGCAGGAACTCCAGTGCAGAGGGGTAGACCTGGTTACAAGGTCTAGCACCAGAATGGGTAAGTAAGATTTTTTTAAGTGACTTTGAAAGTGGCGTGGTCGTTGATACCAGAGTGGGCGCTCTGAGTATTTCAGAAACTGCTGATGTTCCTGTACGAACATCTGTACAACAAAGAAAGACCCCCTGAAAAAGAGAGCAGCAGTTTTTCAGGCATAAATACCACATTTATGTCAGAGGACAATGGCCAGACTCCTTCAAGGTGATAGTACGGCAACAGTAACTCAAATAACCATAAACATGCAGAAAGGCCCCAATCTGGTGCTAGCAACGTATAACTAACAAAGTGACTAATGAGTGTATTTCATGCAAATAAAGCCTCTTCAAACATTCCCAAAAATATAATTAAATCTGCAACTACACCTACACTGGCACTAGCAACAAAAAACCTTGTTCGTTTCTTAATTAGCAACAATACTGTTCACATGGAGTCGTGTTTGTGTTTACCTGCCAAATGTAGGTCAGGTTCTTGCTCCTCTTTAGGCTCAGCCTTTAGTTTTCAGCTGTGCCTGAGGCTCTTTAGCTGCTAAATGCTACACAGCTAGTCACTGGTCGTGTCTCTCCATTGTTTGCTAGTGACAGGTAGTGCTCAAGATAACTTACTTGTAATAGTACAAATAAACCCAATTGCATAGCATGTGGTTTTGTCAGCCTGTTAAAGATTTGTCAAAGCTGCAATTTAAAAGACATAAACGCTGCTCTATCTTCTTGATCTAGAGTGTTGACATTCTTCTGTAGATGTAAACACTGTTTCCTTTAACAGTTTCCTGTGTTTGTGTTTTTCCCTGACCTCTTCTCAATTGTTAGAAGTGGGCAAAGCCATGTTGCAAACAATTTAGTCCAGACTGAGAAACATGTGGATAAGATAATGGTAATAATGGTGATATCGCTTTCAATCAAATGTGATCAAACAAAACTTTGACCGGGCTATTGCAACACCTTGATTTTTATTTCTTCTTCAGCCATTCACTTGTAGATTTGCCGCTCTGCTTGGGATCTTTGTCCTGATGAAGGCCCCACTTTCAGCCCAGCTTTAGCTGCCAGGCATCACATGTGACTCCAGAATAACAATGATAATAATAAATGTATACTTTATTAATCCTGTAGGAAATTGTTTAGTCTTCTGCATTTAACCCAGTCACTCATCGAAGGAGTACCAATCCAGCTTGCCTCAGGATAGCCGTTCAGTGGATTTCAACCCCCGACCTTCCTTCCTTCAACCTAACCCTATCACGGGGCGAACACTCTACCTAATGAGCTATCCCTATATCCGGTGGGATTCGAACCCACGCCTCCAGAGAGACTAGCCTTAGACCGCTCAGCCACGCTACCCACACGTGCCCAGCCCACAAATGGTATGAGGTGCTGGGTTTGGTCTTTGGCACTCTTTGCACTTTATGGCCAAACATCTCTATGTCGGTCACCTTAAAGGACGTAGTTCTAGAGGTCTTGAGGTTTATGCTGATGCAAGCTAAAGCCGTGCTGCTGTGGTTTTAGTCAGAAGAAGCTAACTCTTGGCATCACTTCCAAACAAGCCATACTTCTTCAGGCTTTGTCTGATTGGGCTGTTGTGAACTTTAATATCTAACTAAGGTGACTAAAGCCTGAGATGTAGCTCTTGGACTTTGTTTTGGGGTTTTTTTTTAGTTTCTCTTAGCATTGCACAGTCTGACCTTGGAGCGAATTTGCAGCAAAGTCCACTACTGGGAGCATCGGCATTGTGTTAAAACACACACCTGAATTTTCCAGACCAGCAGACTTACAAATCTTGTGCTTTTACAGAGATACCCACACTTGCTGTTGATCATTTAATCACCTGCAGTAAGGGTGTACTTAATTTTTCATAGGACAGCATAGAGTCCTGTGAAAACCTTTTTCACATGAAGTTATAAGGGAAGCAGTGGAGAGTGTCTGTCCGCAAATCCTGTAACTTACCAATTTCCATCTCAATGAATGTAGCCTCTTCCGGAAGGGCCCTCGGCAGCACCCCGGGGTCACTGAAGCTGGTCCTCAACAGCATGGCCATAACGAAAAGGAACAGCAGGACAGCAAAAACTGGGATGGCGGGACAAAGATGAACAGCCAGGTACGGACATCTGCACAAGAAAAAGAAAAGTGTTTTTAAAATAATGTGCACACAACAGCTGCTTTCTTTTCTACATATTCGCATCTGCAAACTTGACATCATACAGGATTGAGGAAAAACATGTTTTTCTCACATTAATTAATTAAAGAAATCCTGTTCTACATTTCTCCATCATAGTAATACATGATAACTACGGATAATCTTAAGAGAAGCGGCAGAGCACTCTCAGGAAAGCCATGAGCACAGAGGACACAACAAAACAACACCACACATATTTTTAACTGGTGTTCAGAGCATAAGGTCACGAACCACAAGACCGAAGTCGTGGCCTTGAATAAATAACACGATGCCGCACTCCCTACACCTTCTGTACTAGTGGAGAAGCGTGGATCCATTTGCCAGGCCATTGAGATTAGAGCCAGCCGGGCTCCTCCAAAAGGGCCGGCTGCACAATCTGATAACAGATGTGAGCTGCAATGCAAAGTGCTGCAACAGAAGAGCGCAGCAGCAGCAAAAAGGCTTCCACACGCAGTTATTAATAGTTTAACTCTATGGCCTCATCGCTCTCCCTTGAGGCTGAAATCATATATTCATAATGTGACTCTAATGTTGCAATACAGGATTTTAAGGGACTGAGGAACACATAAAACTGCCCACACACAAGATCACCAGGCTACACTTTATTTACACAGTATTCTCTTTTGTTCCATTAAACAGCATCTGCATACAGTGCATCTGGAAAGTACCTCCACATTTTGTCATGTTACAGCCTCGCCTCAAAACTCTACATGCGATTCCCCATAAAGATAAAGTGAACAAACAGTTTGCTTGAAATTAACGCAGATTTATTAAAAATAAAAAACATGTACATAAGTGTTCACAGCCTTTGCTGCTAATTTGGCAAAAATTATCACTTAGAGAGAACATCAGAAGCACCAAGTGAACTCGCTTTATGTTACAATAACATAAGAAATATATTTATCTCAAAAGTTAGGAAATTACTATTTTACAGCAGCCAAACCATAAAAAAACATCTTAAAACAATACAGCATAATAAAAATATCAAACAAACCAAACATTACACTAAATTAAACAGAAAATGTAAAAAAGCCCACGATAAAGAAAAAAAATGGGGCTTAAAAATAAAATAAATGAAGGTGTTATTTTATTATCTTATTTTTCTTGCTAAACCAATAAAAAACCAATAAATAAATAAACCAATAAAAAAAGTGCGAGGAGGACTTTTCTGTTGGTTGCGACAGAACAGCAAGCTACTGTCTTTTGGTTTACTGCCAAGTCTTTTTCATCTAATATAAAATCCAGTGAATGGTTATAACAAAGCGGCTGAATCTAGCAACAAATTTGCTAAGGTAGCAACAAAGAAATGAGGTGCAGGATGATTGCAGTGACAACAGCGAGGAGGACAAACTAAAAACAAATATCAGAATCTACAAACTGAAACTCAAATACAACACAAGAATATCCAAACAGTTAACCTTTGGTTACAGCCAACACTCCATATATTGTAACAAAAACAAGTAGCCTATGACACATGAAAAATATGGAGGGTAAAACTCTTATTTTTCATACTGTGGACGGTTGTTGACTTAGTTCAAATTTTGCTGATCGGAGTTGCTCTTCTATAACGATCCAATGCGCTCTAAGCCAATAACAGAAATCTGTACATAGGGGCACCATTGCACATCTGTGATCTCATAATTAAACCTGAAGTGGCTGCAGTTATATAACAAAAAGGGGAAAAGAGAGAGAAATCAGCAGCCATTAAAAAATAAATTGCTTTTGCCCGTTTTATTTAATTTGTTTAACACAGATAACCTCACACAGGTGGCCCGGATGTCAGCTACTCATCTACTACAGTGTCACCCACAGTTTTGCTTCATCATCATGGTCGGTTTTCTGTTCTCACTATGCAGGCATACAGTTAAAAGTGAACAAAGCGGACTTGTTTAATGTCACCACGTACATGAACCCTGTCAGCATACCTGAGCTCTGACAAGACAACAGAGCAAACACACACACACACACCTGCTTGACTTGTCTGAGCAGTTTTCCGGCAGCGCATTTCAAACATTAATGGAAACAAGGAGCAGAGATCAAATCAATAGAAATTTCCACTGGCAGGCCTGCGAGGTGTGTTTCCCACAGCCGTTTGTGCAGAGGCCGCACAGAGCGGGATTCAGGCTGAGGGATTGCAGTCTGTCGATGAAGTGCAATTCCCGTAACCGTAAACTGGAACATATTCAAGGAAGGCTTCTCGATCATTGCTTCCCATCAAGCCCCCCTATCTTTCCTGGATGTGACAATTTCCTGCGCTGTGCAGGGTGGAGCTGTCACGGCACCACTCTGGTGACTCCGTGTTCACCAATCACCACAGAAGCAGCAGGAAAAACTGGATCGTCTACGAGGGGATATCCGTCAACTGACACGCACATGTTGCTAACAAACCCTCTTCCTTAACCAACTTACTTCATATTTATGAAATATCTGTTTACTATTCTAACAGCATGTCTTTGTGAAGGTGTGAAAACAACCTGTGTGGAAATTATTTCATGAACTTGAGAGGTGCTAGAAGGCAGATTTCCTTACCTTTGTGCAGAGACAGGTGTGCCACAATATCTAAATTTTATGCAAAGCTAAGCTTACCTACTGCTTTATATTTAGCAAAATAAACAGTAGTATAATTCATCTCATGTAATGCTCATCGAGAATACATTACAATACCTTCTATTATACTGAAATGCTACAAATACATGAACTACCTTTAGAGATAATACATTTGTAATAGAGTGCCTTTTTTTTTTGTTTTGTTTTTTTAACCAACCAGGAAGTTAGAAAACACCTCGGCCTTGATACACAGCAGAATTTATCTGTAGGCTTTTGGATTATTACAGAAAATAAGAAAAGAATAATGAAAAAAGGTCCTCGGCCAAGCTGGTCACCCCACTGTCTCGACTGAGAACCAAGGGTGATCACTCTTTTTCTGTTAGGAAACCCATTTTTCGTGATAATCATCCCGAGGAGATCTGATCACCAAGCTCACTTTTGTCTTTTAAATCCTTCTTAAAGACATATTTTTTCAAAGTAGGCTTTTTCTGTGCCTCCATTTGAAGTTTATTTCGATGTTGTCCACCTTAATTGTTTAATCGCCTTCTCCTAGTTATAATTTCAATCTACGTTCTACTAGCTTTTAATTACCTGTTGTTTTATTTTTAATTTTCTTTATTCCTCACTTTTTACCTCCTTGTGCTGCTAGTATTCCTAAGCCAAATGTTGAGTGACCTTTGCCTTCTCTTAGATGTTTTATTTGCTGTTTCTTATCTTATCTTGTTAAGCACTTTGTAACTTTGTTTTTGAAAGGTACTACATAAATAAAATCCATTGCCATTACAATCCAAACAGACTGTGTTCTCATAGTTCTTAGCAAAATTGTCTTCTAATTATTGAGTTGCACACTTACCTGTGTGTGCTGCATAACAAAAGGCAAAATGTAACCTGATTACATTTGTTAACCTCACCCCTTATATGCGTAATAAACCATTCCTGCATTCTTCCAATTTATTAAAAATAATAACAACAACAAAGGATTTTAAATTGTGCCACTGCCAATTATATGAAGGTATGAGATGCTAAAACCTCTTGTTTCTACAGTGTTTATTTTTTTGCACAAGTTGCAGTAGTTCATATTGGTTACTGATTGACCCAGAGGAGGCCTACATCACATTCAAAGGCTGTAATCTTATTAACCATGGCACAAAAATATTATCACACTTGAGTTTACCCCTTGACTTAATAGGCAAATAAAGCCTAGCTGTATGTTCTTTGGATTATTTATTGGCCCCTAATTAAATCTTAAACAAATATCAGAGTGGGCATTAGACCCCGAGTTTTACCGAAGTTACACCAAATAAACTTTGTTTAATAAAAGGGAACTCGTTTAGGGAAAAACCTGGTGGTCATAAAAGACAATAAAGGCATTAAAATAAAACAATTAAATCTCATTACACAGGAGACAGATAAACTACCTACTGCTGCTCCTACTGTCATGTCTGTGCCTGGTGTGGGTGGGCATTAGATGCTTTAAGGCGAGTCTTCTGCAGACGTTTAGTTCCTTCTTAACTCAGAATGGCACAAGCTCAGAGATGAAAAGCTCCTAAAGTAGTGATATCACCAAATTAGAATCACTTCAGCGTCTCAGCCACACCGCCCCTGAACCCGGGATTACGACGCCACACATAGTGACTCATGACATTTTACCTTTGTCGAACATTTCAAACCCTTCCGTTATTAATACTTAACAGCTGTAAGCTGTTGCAGGCCTGCTTGACTCATACTCCAAATGAATTATGCACTTGCTGTGCAGGCAGCTCAACAGTGGGCCTCAGTAACAGCCTTCTGTCATACAAACATCTGCAGACTGTGCCTGGCTGTTTCTAGGGCACTGCTGAGGGAAAAAAACAAAAGCTCTCAACCTCTGCTTGCCCTCTCTCCTTTTTAAGATACAAGCAGGAAACAAGTCGATATCAGAAAAGCTTTCGTGGATCCTCGTGCTTTTCCCACAGCAATAAAACTGCTCATGCTATTCTCATAAATATTCAAAAAAACGAAAGCCTGACGAAATCCAAAAGCTCACTTAACATTTACTTCTTATCTAAGAATATTTCAAGAGTCATCCAAACAATGCAGATATCAGCACCTCATACATTAGTATGCGGTATCAAGCCGTGACTGAATTTCCTGCTTCAGGTAGACAAAGATGATACATGTCCTTGCTCTGATGTCATGGGAGCTTGCACCCCCTGAACCTGAAGCTCCAGACTACACTCACTATACTCTGATGCCAGGCTTAAATCAGTCGTCCTTGTTATGCAACATTTAAATACCAAACGAGAGAGATGAAACATTAGAGCCTGGGTCACTGAACGTTTAGTGGGATTAAAGTTGGGATCACAGATGTTGCGTCATATAATATTTAGCAAGTGAACTTGAGACTGATGAGAAATGTGTTTATTTAGCAGTATCTCTGTCACATTTTTGATAGCAGTGCATCTACTTCAACCCCACCCCAAGATTTATGCAAATATAATGTGGACTTTCCTTCCTTGCATGAAGCAGGCTCGCAGGCTCGCAGGCTGTGAGCTATAGATTTAGAAAATCTACCCTCCACAGAGGAGCAGCTCTCTCCTTCTGATAGAGAAGCTTCCAGAGAACAAAGCCTTTAGATCATGGTTGCTGTAAATGGAGCGCGTACTCTGAGTAGGGTATAAATCATGTTATTGCTCATTTGGCCTTGGCCGGATGCCACTTTCCGATTGGTTAACAGGGAGACAGGGTGGAGTTAGATGCTGAGAGAGGCTTGGGGGGGTTGACTACAAGAGCTCTTCTGACTGCAGCCACTCGCTCTGCAGGCTCATCCCTGTATACCTACTTCTCCTGCATTGCTCCCATTACTGCACACATACAGCACCGATACCCAGAAAAGAAGATCGTCATGCACATATGGTTTTCTGGCCTAGTGGCTAAGTTTCCTGTGGTGGACAGACAGATGACACACTGTCCTTATGTTCCAGTTTCTTGTTCCTTCCTCCAAAATCCATAGGTGGCAATCCGCATGCACATATGCACACACGTTGACAAAAAGCAGCAAATAGAAACCAAACCTGCAAACATCTATCTGCAAGTAAGCCTTCTGCAAATATGTACATGCTAAAGCCCTCTGTACACACACACTGAATGCAATACCCAGTTTAATAGATATGCAAAAAGGATCAGCACAAATCCAATAGGTAAGGATGTAAAGACTTAAAATTCTGCCCAGCAAGGGAAAAGAAAACTAAAAAGGCTGGGCCCATTTCTTCAGTGACTAATTTGTTTACTTGTCCCTAATGCATCTTTCCATTTGTGTACTCAGCCACTGGTTTCCGCAATTTAGCACAAATTAAAACACGGAGGGGTCTCCCTGCACATGGTGCCGGTGGCTGATGATAAAAGTGAGATGTCTGCTCCCCTGGTCTTGGATATTAGCCAGCTCACGCCATGACACTGCCCTCCCTTGTTCTGCCATCAACGTCACGGTGCAGCACACTGCCCAACCTTAAACTCACATGTGAGGAAGGAATTCTCCAAGATAAAGAAACGGCAAGACGTTGCCCTGACAGGCAGCTTAGCTGATTATACTGATGCAGCGTCACACAATCGACTGCAATACAGTCTTTAATGTGTTGCAAGCCTTTATACAAAAATTACATTTTTGATCACTGGTTTGTTTTTAGTGTTTTAGAGCAGTGAAATTCAACAAATATTAGTTTTGCAGATTAACTGATAATTTATTGGCTTCTGTTTTATACCTTTTTTTTCCATTTTTAGCACAAAATGAGCCAGATAATCCTAACGTCAGCATACTGATTTATACTCACAATGACAAACCTAACAGATATTTATCCACTAGCGTGCCTTAGTTTAGCAGCTTAACACGATGACATTTCAAAAGAGAGCAGCAGCTGTTACAAATGTGATCAGTTTTGCAATGATTTAGTCAGAAATCAAATCACAGTGGTGGCTAGAACATCATCACGACATCATCCAGTGGGGGAAACTTAAGAGGCGTTTTCTGAGGGAGTGCTCAACGGTTCATGCCATTTGGTCTCCAACTATGAATGCAGATTATCTTAAAGCGGCTAGAAGAAAGTCGAGTCATCTTCAAAACATATCTTGAGACCTTGAAAGTGCAATTGAATGCACTTTTCTTTTGCTGTCCACGTGGTCTCTCTGCATGTCTTACACATGACTCCTCAATACCTGCCACACCAGGAAACCTCCATCACCAAAACTCTTGTCTTTGCCAACAGATTCTAGATATTCATATGCAAATATCTGTTTATAGAGATTCAAGATTTGGGGTTGGAGGATTACAATTGGTTTCTTTTGGGGAGCCTGAATGTCTGTGCTAAGTTTCATGATTATGCAATAGTTGTTATTTATTTATGAGTGACAAGCGATGGGAAGGTTTTTCAGTCGGGTTTTAAGATAAAATAAGTACTCTGAACAAGCAGTCTCAGACTCTGGAAAATGCAGAAAATGAACATAATCAACAGCAGATGCATTAATTATGAAAACAGCTGTTACTTACAGCGCTCGCAGTAGCTGACAAATAATTCTACAATAGCAAAGAGTTTAGACTTGGTGTTTTAATGCTTCTATCACTAGTTAAATTGGCATTTTGTGAATGCATTATACCTCAGAGCCTTTCTGCTGATGGCTTTCACCCTGTCATAGCTTCAATGTATCAAGTTGCCATGTAACTGAATTTAGCAATTACCCCCATGTTGCTCGGGCCCAACTTCAGTAGCTGTCCCACCCAGAAAGATAATTATATTGTGCTGTAATATGAACATAGCAAGTTAACGACCCTCTAGCTATCAGTTATCATAACGCCTCCTCCCAGCTCTGGATGCTCGGCGTGAGCAGTATCATCCTTTTCCCTCTGTGCTCTGAGCCGGACAACAGCTCCTTCTGTGCAGACTCAGAGGAAAGCAAGAGGCCATTAACGTGCAGGCAGACAGAGACGGGAAGGGCCTGGCACTATGCAAGAGCAGCTACTTCTCCTCGCCACTATGCTCCAAATCCATTTGGCCTGGTAGCCGCATACACACCCACAGTCAACGGAGGTTACTGTGTTACACAGCAGGATTTTGTGCCAAATCATTGTGTTCTGTGTGTCATTTAAAAACTACCAAGAAAGAAAAGAGGAAATAACAAGGACGTGGACAGAAAGTGTAAGCAGCACTGCTTTATGAGCCACATCCATGTTCTTCATTTTATTAAAAGGCACTCCTCAGTACAACATGAACTGATGAGATCTGGGTTCACCAGCAGCATCCGAGCAGGTCGACAGTGCTTGCCTGGATGATGAGTCCAATGGGTTGTGCAAGTAGTGGATTGGGACAGAACTGCTGAGACCAAAAAAAAGGGCCGCAAAACCAAAGCTGAATGACTTGTGTCATTAAATATTGAACAACTCAGTATGTGGTCAGTCATAACCATCTTCTCTGTCAGGAAGAGAATTTAGATCGACAAGACACGAATACGAGGTTATCAAAGTGAAATTGTTGCCTGTTACAAAAGAAAACCATAAAAGGAGGTTACAGTTACTGCCCACCACCGAGCCCAGGATCACATTACCATTAAGTAGGTTTAGAAAGGTAACAAAAATCCAATACTCCCTTAAAGAAATCATTTTCAGATCAACTACACATGACTGAGATGAGGATAACAGTAAAAGCTTGATTTGGTGATTTAACCTAATCAAAGGTGAGGACTTTACGTTACTCTTTGTGATGCATTAGAATATTCAGCTAGTTCTGAGTTCTGAGAAGGTGGATACTGCTTTCCAGATCAATCAATCAAAATAAATTGTTAATTGCTAATGCATTTCATGATCAAATAACATATATTCTCAGAGCGGACATCTCTAACACGTAAATTAAGCAGTGATGGATGTTTTTGATTGAAGCTAAAATATTTATTATGTGAGTTTATACTGATTTTATGCACCTCTAAAGTTGACACATGTTGGATAAGGCTATAAGACTCGATATTTTGGGAACCGGAAAAGGCATAAGAAGCCTAAAGGGAGTTGGAAACACTTTTTGGAGCAGCTGATAACTTTGCCACGGGGTATGACTTACTCGAAAGCGAAGAAGAGGGCGCAGGTCCCGGTGATGAGGAAGAGGGTCAGGTAGAAGACGCCCTTCTGCCGGGCCATCATCACCCGTCCGTCGCAGCAGAAAGTGTTTTTCCCCGGGAGCTTCTCCCATTTTCGCACCTTTCGTGTTATCATCACCGCCGACATGGTGTCCTCTTCTCAGATCAGCAGTGTGCGCTTCTTTGGGTCAATACAAGTATTTATACTGCAAAGGGATTCAGACAATACGCCGATGGCTCGGGAGGGGATCTGCGCACATGTAGCCCCTTCCCAAAATACTATTTAGTCAAAAACAGTCCAGTTAATGAGTGATATTAAAGACTTGTGCGCTAAGTGGCGGCTGGGAAGCATTTTCTGACCATTCAAAGTGTCGCAGTCACATCATCGGCGTTTTCTAATCCATATTATTTCCCGTCTTTACTGCAGCATGTCATTCCCACAGTGAGCCTCCCTCTCCGCTCAAACAACCTCAATCCCTTCACGGTCCGGGCACCTCTGGAAATCAGGAGAAATTCATCCAAATGCGTGCAGCAGATGATTCCCACCAGAAACCTGAAAATCCAGCTTTTCAATCGGAAGAGCGGACCTTGACCGACTGACATTCATGTCATCTCGATAAATCATAAATGGTTTTACGGGCGAGCAGCTGCTGGGTCTTCACAAACAGGCTGTTAGACTGTGACTGCACTGCTGGTTCAACAGCCTTCATTTAAAGAAAAAGAAAAATAAGAAAGAATCGCCAGTGTGTCCAGGAATATGTAAAGCTCTTGGATATGCCTTTCCCCCCTACAGCCTGCCAGCTCTCGGTTTCAGTCAATGGTAGCAGGAAACACGCCTAGATTGAAATATCTAATCTTAAAGGGGCAGGACAGGTGAAAGAAAAAGGGAACAAAGGACACAGGAACAGGTCCTGTCTTGATCACATTAATATGCTAAATTGCTCGCCTATCGTATTGCCCAAGGGAGCAGAGCGTGAAGTGTTTTATTGGAGTTAATTGGTAATGGAAACCAGAGGGATTAATCCCCCACGAGAGCAGAGATAAGCAATGCAGAGGTCTTTTTTTGATCTTATCTATTCTGCATCATACATGACAGTTTGACAGGCTAAAACAAACCGATACATTTTGAAGATTTGACCACATGAATTGTTGCACTGTGTACGTAAGCTATATTACTAATACGCTTGCATTTCTAACACCATGTGTGCACAATGGTGTGAAAAACTCTTTGTCCCCGCCCTCATTTATTATTTTTGGCATATTTTTCA